CTCTCTCTCTCTCTCTCTCCAGTATCCATCTCAGTATGTTCGTGTGTGTGTCCGTGTGACCGTGTCTATGGCCGTTGTCGTAGTTCAATCTACCCTACCGCTGTTGTGCACCGCCGTGAACACCAAACACTCGAGACACATGAAGAGCGTGGCGGACAACAGACGATCGGAGAGCAGTTGCGGCATCGCGACGAATGCGATGGGTAGCGTACAATAAACTGCCTTCTCTACGCAGCTGAGCCTCGGCATCATCCCCTTCCTCGCCATCATCGTCACCCGCTGCTCCATCGTCGTCGTTGTCTTCGTCGCCATCTTCCCCCCCTCTCCGCCGCAGCAAGTCTTCGTCGACCGGGATGCCTGCGTCGATGATGATGTTGTGCAGAATGCAGCACGCGAAAAACTGGTAACACACGTTGCGCATATTAGCTATGTGTTTCCGACCAAAGCAACGCCACATTCCTTTCAACCGACCAAAGCACCTTTCGATCACACTGCGAAGGGCGGAGAACTTGTTGTCAAACACTCTTTCCTCTGCAGTCCGCTCACATCCTCCAAACGGAATCATCAGCCACGGGAGGATCGGATAACCAGCGTCCCCCATCAGATATCGTCCCATTGCAGTGCCATCCATGAGGACGTTTGTCCTCTGAACGAAAGGCTCCCTACCCTCCTCCCCGCGGTTGTACAGATCGGAAAGGCGCAGTATACGAGAATCGTGCACCGCCCCCGGGGCCCCGACGGTGACGTCCAAAATGCGCAGGTTCTCATCGCACACTACTTGTGCAACGATGGAATACTGCCTATTTCTGTCGAAATATGGTTCAGCCTCGCCACCACGGGGCTTGTCAATAAGGATATGTGTACAGTCCATCACACCGAAACAGCCAGGGAATCCTTTCCCCTTATAATAATCTAAAGTCTTTTGCAAGCGATCCCCGATCGACCAAGACAACACATGGCCATACTTATCACAGAGAGCTCTTGCGACGTCGTCCGTGCATCTGATGGCACTGTGCAGTCCCAATCCGAAGTCGTTGCCACACTGTCGGTAATAGCCCCCCGTCGCCCATCGGTATAGCGCAAAGGCGAACTTCAAAGACGCCGGCGAAGCCTGTCGATAATGGGTGTCCATCCTTTGTATCCTCGGCGCGATCCGCTCCAAAATCTCATCGAACAGAGGCCTCGTAAGCCGAGTGTACTCATGGATTTTTTTCTCGTGTCCCAGTCCCTCCGTATTCAGGTCCTCCCACGTCCCTCCCACTCGCTCTCGGACCCAAAGCCGTCTCCGTCCTCTGCCTCCCAACGGATTTAAAGCTCCTCCCCCGCCATGTCCTTCATGCAAGTCGTATGCTAGGAGCAACAAGATTGTGGTCGCATTGTGCATGGCGACAATGTTCGTCACAGCAAGCATGAGCATCATCGCCCTGAGCACGCACACTTGCTCCCTCATTCGCATCATTCGCACCCATCGAATGACGGCGGCAAGCACCATGCCGAGATGGCCAGGTCGCATGTCTTCCGA